TTACACATATAGCAATATTTGTACATAAAGACATTTCATTCTGTATGGTACATATTGGAAAGTGAATGAAGTTCACTACAATACATTAATACAGATGTCATCTTCTAAAGGGTTTTGAGTGAAATCTATGGATCCAGAGCCAAACTTTTCCATGACTTTGCTTGTTCTCTCTTATATTGCTCCAGCTCCTGAGAAAAAACAAGGAAAAAAAGTTGCTAATACATTAGATACATTTGTGTGGCTGATATTCTAACCAAAGTGCATTCGATCTAATCTGGATCTTTTAGTCAGTTAGATTTGGCTTACTTTCTAAAAACATGCTGTAAACTTTTGATTCAAAGTTGATTACTGTGTAGAAAATCATTCAATTATGAAATGTTATTATTTTTAAATCTTACATAATAGCATAACTGAACATGTTTTACTCTAGAATTTTAATGTACAAAAACTACAATCTGAGCAAGTGAAACTGCAATAGTAACCCTCTGTCACATATTGGCTGATTATTGCAATCACCAAGCACTCAGCAATAACAGCCTAAATCAAAGTAGGTGAGAAGCTACTGAAGGACAGTGAGTGTGAGGTGCAGGGTAACTCTCAGTCACATACTGTACTCTAAAGTAAAGCAGTCTGGAGGATCAGTTAATGGATGCAGTACAGTAATAACTCTGAGTCAGTCTGAGTCATATATACTGTATATACACGCATGACTAGAGGTTACTAGAAGACAAATATTTGCTAAAAGGTGATTTTACAGTGACATTAAACATGCTTCTTTTACCTGGTCTTTCTGGGCTCTGATAGAGTCTATAAGGGGCTCACTGTACTGAGGGTCTTTAGCAGGATCTTTCAGCTCCTTACGTTCATTGGTGTTCTGAAGACAAAAAGGTCAGGGGTCAGGCAGGCATTATTAAACCATTACCATTGTTTACAGAGGAAACCATACCTCAGGTGGGAAAACCCTTTCAAAAACCTTTTTCCAAAGGTCTAAGGGGTTTTTGGCATGAAGAGTCCCGATATCAACCTCAGAGGTTACAGGTGGCCCTAGAAGATGAATGAATTCAAAATATTTTGAATACCGCATATAATTAGGGTATGAGTAGATGAAAAATGAATATATAGTGTATTGTAACTGGGCTTATACTTGTGTTTATAATTGTGCATTTTAGATGCACAATTTCAGTAACCCTTTTTAATATTGAGGTAAAACTGAATGTATAACAATATTTTAACATTATTAACAATAAACACAACAAACGTACAATACATATCTTACCGATCTGATTGAGAGAGTCAAAGCCTGCTGGAATAGCCAGAGGTTTGCTGGGGTCAGTAGAGACTGACTTTCTAATAGAATGGAAGAGAAAACCATTTTATAATACTGTGACTAATAAACTTTAGTAATGAAGAATATCCCGCATCTTAAGTACAAGAAAATAATGAAAGGTTCATACGGTCTTTCAGTCCCAAATGCCAGCTGATTAACAAAACTCCTGCTTTTAGACATTGTGGCTTCTGACTTGCTGCTGGTGAGCTGTGGAGAGTCATAGATCATACAAACATAACACTGACCAGAAAAACAGAAAAGCTAAATGGGTGATTTAGTAAAGCTTAGTTATGCCATAGAAGGGTGATGTCAGTTTAGAGTTCTTCAGTTATTGATTTTATGAAGCTACAAATTTCTGTAGGTTATGATCCATGATCATTTTCAAACCGCATTCTGAAATTCTTTAGTATGACGTCAGTCTTACGATTAAAGAGGCTCCATAGAAGTGGGCTATGAAGCGCAGAGTCTTACAAATCACCTTTCTCTTCTCTAAATCAAAGTCCTAGAAGGAGATGGATAGATAGAACTTTTTTTTAAGAGTTGATTTTATACTTAAGATGCACTAAAAAAAAAGGTAATGCTTTGACATGTTAACTGTTGCATATTACATTCTTTTGCATACTATTTAAAACACAGAAAGCAGTATGAATGCAGGCTGTATAACATGAGATTTTACCTAAAAGATGTCAAACTTGCTTCCAACTATGAGAAGAGGAACAGGGAAAGGGCTGATGAGCTCTCTGTCCTGTTGAAAAGAGTCCGTTTCATGTAATAGACTGAAACACTCGATTTCAAGCTTCATTTATAGCATTTATGTTACTCTCTCACAACGGATAGTCTTTGTGGAGGACCCGTGGGACTCGTTGTTTGCCGGATCTGGATTCTCCTGTCTTTTGGAGTGAGGCACACACTTTTTCCACCTGACTTCAAGCTGAATCCAGCAGCCTCTCCATGGTCTCCCACAGAGCATTGGGTTTAGAAACATCCAGAACAAGTACTACAGACAAAGAACTGTAAAAACAAGCACATCTGATTTGAATTATTCCACCACAAAATAAAAATTCTGATATTTCTGAGATAAAAGTCTGAATTGTGAGATTAAAAAAAAGTCACAATTAACTTTTTTATTCAGTGGCATAAAAAAAAAAAGAATTACGCAGCGTAAATTCAGAAATCTGAGAAAAAAATCCAGAATTGTGAGATATAAACTCTAAATTCTAAATTCTAAGAAAAGTCGGTAACAATTTATTTTAAGGTGTCCTTGTTAAACGTTACATGTACTTACTATTCTAATAACAATAAATTAGGCATAATTGCATAATACATGTAGCTAATTAATATTACTTAATACTTAAATGTATAATTACACTGTAACAAGGACACCTTAAAATAGTGTAAAATAGTATATCTTAAAAAAGTCTTAATTGTGAGATACAAAACTCACAACTGTGAGAAAAAAGCCTAAACTGTGAAATAAAAAATTGCAATTACGTTTTAATTTTTTTTTATGTAGGTGGCGAAAAAAAATATTGTAAAATGTAAACTTAGAATTCAAAATGTAAAATGTAAACGTACAGCTCAAAAAGTAAAAAGACAAAGAAGAAGAAAAGTCTCAATTATGAGATATAAATTCACAGTTGTTGTGAGGGGAAAAAATCAGAATTGTGAGATAAAGTTGCAATTACCTTTTTTAATTTTTATTTTGTGGTGCAAAAAAGGAATTGCGAAATGTAAACCGAAAAAAAAAAGTTACAAGATACAAACACAGATTGCAAGATATAATTTTTTTTTTATATCCAAGAATTCCAAGAAAACAGTCAAAATTGCAAGATGTTAACTCAATAATGAGAAATAAACGTACAATTCTGAGAAGAAAAGTCTGAATAATTTATTGTTATTTTTAAATAAGCTTCCACATGTAAACTACCTCAGATTAATTTGAGTTAAATGTAAACCCAGCCTGATTGAGTGTACAGTGTTTACGAGTCTAACATGACATTGTCAGCCGTGATGGGAATCTGCACTAGGTCTGATAAGGAAATTCCTCCTCCCAGTTCCCACAGGTGAGCGATGTCTTTAGGCTGCAAAGAGGAGAAAAACATACTTTTATATATCAATTAAAATAGAAATTCTTTTTTTCTTTCTGTAAGAAACCGAGGACAATACCCAATACCGTATTATGCCCTCTTGCACGTCTACCAAAAGTGTACTCCAGTGCAAGAGTAGGTTTAGCTGCCTCATCTCTGGTTTAAAGGGTAAAACAGAAACATTATGTGAGGTGATAGGAAAACTCTCAAAAACTTCAAATGTACAGTATCACATCTTAAACTTACCTATCAAGAAACCGCAGTAATATTGTTGTCTTACCCTAAAACAGAGGTGTACTGTAAAATGTTTTTGTGTTGGCTGAAAAGTTAAATTGTTTGGTACTAGCACATACATTTTCAAACATTATCAAACCCTAGCTTTACTTCAGGTAGGCCTGAGTGTTTAGAGTGATATGCTGCAGGCATACGCATACCCCTGCTTTACTGCCCATGAAGAAGACTGTTCTCTGTGTGGGAAAGTGTGCATCCTCTTCAGCATCCTCTTCATCAGTCCTGCTCTCCCTGCTGCGCACTTCCGCTGCAGCAATATCCCATAAAGTATCCGAGCTACGAGACAACATGATCTGAATAACAGCATCTGCATGCTTACTAAAGCAGTAGCTCGACTCCTGAGTGGAGTCTCTCTCTCTCTCTCTCTCTCTCTCTCTCTCTATCTCTGGGTAACGTTAGCTTGTAAGCTAACTAACATTGAAATAGAAGTAAAACAATAATGTGTATAATAGCTCAGCCAGTAGCTTACCTTATTTTAGGCATTATCACTATTTGTTTCTAAAAAAATAAAATTATTTACGCCTGGTGTCATAAAAGAAACGAGTTTTGATTCAGTTTAATCCTGTACTGATGCTTGTCGACAGAAGACGCTTGATTACCGTTGCGAGGGGTAACGGCACTGTTTGATGATGTAAGATGATTTAGTGTACTATGGGAAATGAAGTTTTTCTGCATTTTTTTCAACTAGGATATTTTTTTTCTATTCCCGTTTTTCAGAAATGCTCTCTTTCCACGCGAAATTCACGTTGACAAATATAGATACTTTGAAACAATATTTGTTTTGAACTACATACATTTGAAAACTGAAAATGGTTGAATAGTAATAGAGAACCCTTATGAAAATTAAACACGGTTTTATTATAGTAATAGTGTAGTAACCATGATTTTTTTTTTTTTGACAGATTGATTACCATTTGCATAACTACAGTCTTACTACAAATACCATGGTTAGTCTATGCTTATGTTTTTGGTTTTATTTGTAGTAAAACAAAAAACAGGTTAATTTTCGTAAGGGACAAAACTTATAATATGATGCTGTCAACATGATCTTGTTGTTGTATGAAATAACCACAAATAGTAACTTTAGCTTTCCTCACATGAAAATACATGTCAGAACTGACTGGGACATAACATGAGCATTTGTTGAACGAAAGCATGATGTAAGCATTGTAAGCATTACATGTAAATGTAAATGTAAATGTAAATGTAAATGTAAGCATTGATACAAGCATTCATATGACAAATTCACAAGTGTATGAAAAAAAGCAAAACAGTCACTGGTATGAAGTGGCCTTTTTATTCAAATGCTGTAAATGCCATTTAATTCTAAATACATTTTAAAACATCAGTTACACATTTTATTAAACATTTATTGTATATAACAGATTATTTACAGCCACATTAGAAATTATTATATATACCACAAACAATAATGGTACATCACATTGTGGAGAAAATGGATCAATAACTGTGGAAAAGGTTGATGGATTCAGCTTTCATGTTGAGGTTATCTGGATATAGTGTAGGCTACTATATATGATTCAAAGATATTCTATATACAAAATAAAGAACATAAGATAACATTCACATCAACACACACACACTCAGGACCTTAGCGTCGGACGAGGTGATCGCGGATCTTAAAGCTGATGATGCCCAGTATCACGAGAGCAGGCAGGAAGGCGTAGAGCAGGAGGAAGTCTTGTGTGTAACGTGAAAGAGCTCCAGGATAACCCTGATCTATGATCATATTTCCACTGTCCATCAGACATGAACCTGGCAAACCTGCTAAAGGTGCTGAGTGAGAGGAATGCTTATTCAGAGGACATCCGTGTGGACAACTTATGCATTATATGTTAAAGACTCCATGAAATCAAATGTCAAGTCACAGTCGAAAACAGTCGAATAATATTGATAATATTTGACATGCTGTGGGTAATGATGTAAAGTAAAACCTACTGGCTTCTCACTTCAAATTCTTATTTCCATAAGAAATACATTAACACAGAAACTATGCTTGTGAAGCTATTTAATGGGGTCCATTAGTATACAATAGATTGAAGAAGATTTTTCTTACTGCAGGTGAAGTTCAGGCCGTAGAACTCAGTGACGATCAGGAGCTCACAGCCGTACTTCTGGAAGGTTAGATAACTCAGCCATTGGAACACCACAGGCATTTGTTTAAAACTCCTGAAAGAATAAGAAAACATTTTTATGAAACTTCATACTTAAAAGTATAGTCAAAAAAAATCTAAATTTGTTTAGATCTTTGTTTAGATCTTAACAGAATTGGAGAATTTTAGCATTGCATCAATTGCTCACTAATGGATCTTCTGTATAGTGAATGGGTGCCGTCAGAATGAGAGTCCAAACTGCTGCTTAAAAACATCACAATAAGCCACACGACTCCAGTCTATCAATTAAGGTCTTGTGAGGCAAAAAGCTGCATGTTTGTAATAAACAAATCCATCAAGACATTTGTAACTTTAAACCGTCACTTCTGGCCAAAATACCATAATAGTCCAGTGAAAAGGTTCACCTGTTGTCCTCTCAGATCAAAATATTTGTTTAGAACAGTTTTGGACTGTTTGTGCATGTAAACAGTGCATATTTAATTCCTGATTCATACTAGACAACTTCAACTGGATAAATGTTTTTTCCAGAAGCAACAGTTTTAAGTTAAAACCTCTTGACGGATTTGTGTATTATAAACATGCTTTTTGCTTCAGAAGACATTAACTGAGTTGTAGATTGTGATGTTTTTATCAGCTGTTTGGACTCTCATTCTGACGGCACACATTTACTGCAGAGGATTCTTTGGTGAGCAAGTGATGCAATGCTATCTGGTCTATCTAATCAAATCTGGTCCGACGATGAGACAAGCTCATCTACATCTTGGATGGCCTGAGAGTGAGTCAGTTTTTAGCCATTTTTAATTTTGGGGAGAACTATCCCTTTAATATACTGACATTGTGCATTGATATAAAAACAGACACCGTATTATATTTTTATCCAATCTATAATGCAGAACAATGTCTTCAATACACATTATGACAATGCTGAATAACTCAAAGTCATTTCTTCACCTTAGAAATCCAGATCCCACCATGATTCCAGCTATATTGAGTAGAGCGACCCCGCTGTTGACCATATTGGGGTCTTGAACGACCCCCAACAAGACCAGTGTTAAAAGTTCACCAACGATGTGAGGAACCATGACCACGGCTGAAAAACACACAAAGCGCACAGGATCTGGGTTCATGCCAACGGTCCTGAAACACCAAACCACACAGAGAAACAGCATGAGGTCAAGATCCAAAAACCAGCAACTTTTATTTGATTCTGAGGACATTCCCCTCTGATTTGAACGGTAGTTACCCTGACCCGAGCTCTGATAAACTCAAGTAGCTCACACAAACACGCCCATACTTACCAGTACAAGAAAGAGGTGAAGATGAACACGCTGATAATACTGAAGGGCAGGATATGGATGATGTAAGCCAGAAATGTACTAGTAATTTAATATCACTGTTTTCATATGCACCATGGTGAAGACATATGCTTTTCAGTTAGCTTTTGAGTAAACGATTTTTTAAAAGTCTCTTAAATCACTGTATTAACTTATTATGGTAATATATTATAATAAGGTCCCATTAGTTAATGTTAGTTATTGCATTAACTAACATGAACTAACAATGAGCAATACATTTGTTACAGTATTTATTGATCTGTTAACAATAGTTAATAAAAATACTTGTTTTATTTTTGTTTTCATTTTGTTCTTGTTGCTTGTTACTGTTTTATCTTGTTTAAATTTTTTTGTTTGCTTTTATTTTGCTTCTTGTTTTTATAATCTTATTTGATTTGTTTATTTAAAAAAAGGCCAAAAGCCAGGTGTTTGAACTTTTGAGTGAAGTATTTTTAAAGTCTCTTAAATAATATGTTCTTGTAAATAAAATGTTTTGATATTGTTTTTCTGTCTTATTCTATTTACATATATATGCTGTCAAACGATTAATCGCAATAATCGCATCCAAAATAAACATTTTTATTTACATAATATATGTGTGTGTACTGTGTATATTAATTATGTATAATTATGCAGTTGCTTTGTTTTACAGTTGTTGATTTTATTTGCCAATTTTATTTGCTGTCTTGTGTCTGTATAGCACAACAAAAAGAGCAAATAAAATGGTTATAGTTACAATTAATGAAAATAAATGAAATTGAATTGTTACTATTGTTGTGGTTCACGTGCTGAATGTTTAAGTCTGTGTGTGACTTCAGCATATTACCACACACTATTTAAGGATTACATAAACTCAATTAAAAGCATCTCAAGGTATTTCTAAAAAATTAAATTTGAAAATGCTCATTCATAAACATACACAACAAAATACACTAATCCTTTAATTAGCAGATGGGTCACTATATAAAAGCAACCTATTTATTATTTTTCTTCCTTTGAAATCAAATAACTCTGACTTCATGATGCATTGCTGCATTAACAGGAAGATAATTATAGTAACACGAATAAAGTTCCAAGTGCCCAACCAAAGGGAACGCAAATCACTATAATGGTGCGTAAAAAAAAACACATTTTAGGAAAATCAACATAAATTTATGAAGTTGGGTGAAAAGTCTATTAAGACTCTTTTTCTTTTCTTCTTCTGTTGTTATGTTGCACATTAGCAACATATTAGTGCACTGCTGCCTCTCACTGGTTTATTAATGTCATTGGTTCCTTTGTGGCTACTTGAATATTTTAAGTAAGTGTCACTCAAAACAGTAAGTAAATTGTTTTATTTGCCTTAGAAAGTAGCTGTAACTTAATAAAACCTAGTAAGTATAACAACTAAGTAAAGATATCTAATTAAATCTAAGTAAGGTAAACTATTGGATTTTACAGTGACAGGGGTGCACATACGTTTTTCAGCCTGGTTCTCATAAGAGAACCTGGAGATTTGGTTTGGTCCTCACACTGCACATAGTGTGACCCATTAAATATAACTATAAAAAATAAATTAATAATAGTGATAATATTATTGCACTTTATTTAGTTAGTATAGTTTAGTTTAGTTACTATAAAATAATATAATTATTATATAGTAAACTTAAAAATAAAATGCTAATATTTCCTTCCTTCTTTTTTTTTTAATATGTACAGTACATAACTGTACAGTATAGGATTTCGATCTAAAATGGTAATTGTGCATTAACAGCGGCCATCCAGCGGCCATCCAGCGCATTTGCGTACCGACATGGATGGCCGCTGTTAATGCACAATTACCATTTTAGATCGACAAACTGTACTGT